TTCCATGACGATAATATACCAAAATACCTTATCTTCAATTTAGGTTATTTAGCTTCTCTCGTCTATGGTCGCTCCGCGCTGTAGTAAATACCCAGCATCAGGCAAAATTATGTTACGTCACTAAACACTCCCTCTAGGAGGCTGATGACGATTTTGATAAAATACTCATGGAAGTTCACGAGAACCATGATATATATATTTGATGATCCCGTACGTTTACTTAGTAAACCTCTCACCATCTCTCCAGTGACTGCCTAGGATACTCGCGGTTATTACTTCGTTTCTTTTTTTTTCGAATCACGTGGGTGGCTTAGCCGAAAGGCGCAGAGCGTATATCATGCACAGTACGATATCGGGGGCTGTGCGACGTAAGATTTCCCATATAAGGCACTTTATTCGTATTTTTTTCTAACAAAAACTGAGCGTTAAATCATTTCTTCCGAAGCCTTATAATAGGACCAGCATACTCACGATATCGCAGTGTGAAGAAGTGCCGGCGAAAAAAAAAACTGGAGACGAAGATCCGGACAAGATAGTGCGCACTTAAGGTGGGAATACTTATTTCGTTCGGTAGTGGGAGTACATTTACAAGGAAGCGTCTTCAGAGCTGTAAACTAATACCTAGCTAATATCTTTTCATTCCAGGGTTTGGAGGATCTCTTTAGCATCATGAAGGCATAAATGAAATGGATTATGGAATAATGTTGAGAAGGAGCCGGCGATGAAAAAACAGAGGGTTCAGCTGTAAGACGCTTCGCATGTATTTTAGTCCGCAAACATTAGTATAGACGTCATGTATCTGCATCATGTAATTTATTTTTAGCGGTCCCTTTATGACCAGGCTCAATGTATTACAAATAAAAAACGTTTAGGGTACTAAGTGACCCGCGAAATGGAGTCAATTATTTTTCTCGTGTGGGAGTTGATTGGTGTGATTCCTCTGGAATCTACATACTAATTTTTTATTTAATACAGGGTAATTTAGAAAATCTGGATCGGCTAATTATTGGGCAATATGATTTCCAGCGAAGATCCAGGGACTTTCATGTTTTGCGATGATCGTTGCGATGAACTGCGGAGAAATTTTATTTAAAAAATGCTATTGCGAGGTTAATTAATTTGATTAATATCTCAAGATCAAGAAAGGTGAAATCTTATTGGATGATCATTTTCCACCGGTTGTGATTTATAGAAACTTGCCAGCTCCTGGAACACTCCTAGAACTATCGAGATTATTATAAAATAATTATAATAATTATTTTAACATAATATAATATCAATTATAAATAAGAAAATTATTATATTGAAAATAAGAACTATTATTAAATCTAAAATGATTTTAACTAAAAAATTCACACTTATATTTGCTTTATCTAGATTTTTGTGTAATTTCAAAGACCAATTAGCATCAACTAAATTATTAAGTAAACAGACAACAGAATACTACAGGTCTAACATATATAATCCTTCACTTCATTTTAAACTAATAATTATTCTATAATAAGATAGGAAATAGTATAGAGAAAAGAAAAAGAGAGAAAGAGGAAAATAGTATAAAAATTTATTATAAATAGCTTTAAGAATTGATCTTATAAAAAACAATTTTTTGAGATGAAATTTTAACTTTAAAATAAATAAACTTTTGAAAAGATTTGATAACTTTTTAAAAAGTAAATTTATTAGAATATAAATTACATTTCTTGAGCAGTTGCCTTATTTTATAAATAATAATCTTTATTATAAAATATAGTTTCAATTCACCTAATCAAAGTTGAATAACAGTGTATTATAAAAAAATTTGTTAAGAGAATCATTTTTTTAATTCTTAAGAATATGACAGATTTTTTCTTATTCTTATTTTTATTATTTAAAAGAAGTATTTCTTTATGTAAAAATAGTATTCAAGTACTATTTAATGATCTTTTAAAAATAATAAATATTTTTTTTTTTTAAAAAAAAAATAAAGGTAAAATAAATAAAGATATCTTGCAATTTGAAATAAATGTTATTCTATATATATTATATTCTATTTAAATATTTATTATATTTATTAATTTTACTTACTAATTTTAGTTATTAAGATTATTATTTGTTTATTTATCATTATTATTTATATTATAAATCAAAAAAAAAGTTAGTTTATTTTACCTAAAATTTTTGTTTTTTTTAATATTAACCACCCAAAATCAAGTATTAGGGGTTTATTAGCTTAACTTTCACAATATCTTCACCCATATGCGAAGATATGACATGAGCTCTAAGTGCTAATTTTGTTCTAAATGGTTTTCCACAACCTTCCCAATCGCACATTAATGCGTTAGTTATTATTGAGATCTTATCATGATGTGGAGCGGGAATTTCCATAGGATGTATTTCTGTCTCCACTTTATCATCATCATCATTTTTTTTAGCCCTTTTCCTTGACTGCTTATTCCCCTCATAATTTTTACGATCATTCGAAATTCCCATGTCTGCTTTCCTACATAACATCTCTACCCACATTCTTCTCAATTTATCATCGGACCTTCGATTTTGCTCTTTTAACAATTTCGATATGCTCGTTTGAAGTTCAAGATCCCCTTTGATAATACTTATCTCACTATCTTTAAGAGATACTATACTTTTCAATTTTATAATCTCTTTCGATTTCTCTTTAATCTCATCTGACATCTTTTTCATATCCTCATTTCTTTTATCAAGTGCTTGAGATTTGTCTTCAAGTTCTTTTGTTCGTTCCTTTATGAGCTTTCGGAGTGTTTCTACCTCATCCCTCAAATCAGAATTGTTAATTTGATCTTGAAGATTCTAAAATACAAAAATGAAAGAATGAATGAATGAATGACCGTTTTTAACAAAAGTAAAAGACATCAAATGAATTAAAATGGATCTAACGGATCTAGTTACTTGAGTTGATGATGTTGAAGCCTTTTGAGATGAAAGAATGTGTGCGGGCGAACCACCTTTTTCTTGAATCGAATCATTTTTAACAATTTGAGATGGTGCAATCACATTAAATTGTTGTGGCATTTGATTTTGTAGCCTTCCTATTGAAGATGACGATAAGCTCTGGGCCTGTACAGGTGAATTGAAGAGTTGTGAAAATTGCGATGGTTGTGATTGTAGCAAAATTCGGGCTTGATATGGAGAGAGTTGTTCCTAAATGAAGGCATTATTTAAAATGAGAGAAAATGGGCAAAATCAGCAATTATTTGGAGATCAACGTAATACTGTACAGTCGATATCCCAGAATTTACTGTTCCCGATATCATATTATTAATGGAAATCCATCCAGGATTCATTCGCATGAATCCATCATAGTCAATCGCTTGTGCTGGCTATTCATGTTAATTAATATTTTAAGGGATCATTATATACATACATATATATATAAAATGAACATAGGAAACGATTATAATTTAATACTCACAGATCGTGATGGGGTTTGAGGAATTTGAATATTCTGAACGAATTGTGGAGGTTTATGAATTTGATAGGTATGAGGTGATTGTAGATGATTTTGCATATTATGCATATTCACTTGACGGATCAAATTGCTATACGATTGGTAAAACTGGGAAAATTTTTGAGGGTAATTATTTGTTTGCTCAAATGCCTAATCATGATATCCCAAAAGAGAGATTAAAATATGTTTTAAAAAAAAAATTAAATAGGATGGAAAACTTACATGATATGGAGATACACCTTGCACCGTTTCTTGAGTTGGAAGGTAATCCATTTGGTTATTAATGATAGGTAAAAGATGCGCATGTCGAATATGTTGTGTTAATGAATATTTAGATTGAAAACTATAATGACGACAGGAATTCCATTTACAATTAAATGATGTCAAATTATCTGATAATGTCATTAAATGAAACGAAGCAATGTGTGTTGTTAGTTCGGGCAATGATGTAAAGATTTCGCAGCAACTATCCCATAAACACGAATGAATAATTAATTCTGCTGGTGTGATGTTTGTAGTAGACATAAATTACTTTTTATAAAAGTGATTGAATGATAAGCAAAAAAAAGTTCACACAATTCTTAGAATCAATAGATAAATATGAATAAGATAAAGGAATGTTTTTCGATGAAAAGAATTGAAAGAAAGTATTTCGAATTAAAAAATGAAGTTTATCAGATATATAGTTAATGCATAAGGTGATGTGCAACAAACGTCATGAACTCGCAGATCAATTATCGTTCTACAACAATTAATAATGATTTTGTGCAAATAACCATAAAAGTATAGAACCGTTTTTTTAAACACTTGTGTAAATTAGGAAAGTCTTTATGCAAGCAGGTAAGTTTTTGACTTTTCAAAAAAAAATTATTTTATGAAAAGTAAATTATGTTGATGGCAGGAGTACCTTTTTTTTTTAAAGAAAAAAAAAAATATATCGAAATCTTTCTCTTTTTATGTATGGCATGTATGGCAAATGATCTATGGTGTAAGGTTACATTTTCGGACTAGCGTCATGGATCGGCATTGTACGAAACATGTTCAGATTAACTTATTGTATTTTGATGAATGGTTGAACCACAGTAAATTCTTTACCTGTACTTTTGTGAAATTGTTTAACGGAATTCATAATCCGAAAATCTACGTATCTTTATAGAGAATAGATATTGGCGACTTTTTATTTTTAGATAATCAGAGAGACATCTTTAAATTACTCTGATGGTTGTAGTTTATAACTGTGCCACATAGTCACATGATCTATTAAATTAAATTTCATGAGTAACTTTAAATGCATAAAATAATAACTAATGTTACTCAATTTTCTTGGTTAATCACCATTAAAAACTTCCAACCCAATACAGTACTATTATAAATAATCTAAATTTAAAATACCAAAAAGAGAATTTAAAGAAAGGTTTTAGTAAAGATATAGTAATATTAAAGTAGTATTTAGAATACTAAAATTATATCATAATTATAGAACTATTGTATAATAATTAAATAATAAATATTTTATTTACTAAAAAATTATATAATTAAATAAAGTAATTATTAATAATTCTTATATAATAGAATAATAGTTAGTATAGAAAATTTCATTATTAATAGTCAGCATTATCAATCATATAAAAAGCAGTTATATTTAATTACATTTTGATTTTAATTTATAAGCCAGTTTAATTATTTAAGTCATTTTATTTATTTATTGATAAAATTAATTAAAAACCTAATAATTTTTTATTTTATATATATTTTAAATGTAATAGTATATATATTATACATTTTAAATACAAATATATGTATTTAAATACTATATAAGTAACGTTAACCTTCTTTATAGTTATTTCCTATATAATTAATTACACCTTCTTTTAAACATATTATATTTTAGTTCTGATTTTTTAATATAAAGTACTTCTTTATAATCATATATTAATTATAATTACTATTATATTAATTATTAGACTAATTTATATTAGTTAATATAAGTAATTTATCTTTATATAGTTAAATTATCATATGATAAATCAGTTAATAATATTCAATTATTATAATAAATTATGTTATAGAAGTAAAAATTAGCAAAACGTATTTATGCAATAATTATTTTACACTGCAATAGATTTACTTAAAAAATTCTTGATTAATAATTAAAATTAATAATCAATGTAAATCTTTTGATTTATAATTTTGATTTGTAATATTTTATTTGTAATAATTTGTAGATCATAGATTTTGATTATTAATTAAAGTGATACGTTAATATAGAAAGTTTTGAAAAAAATAATTACGAATTGTAATTAATATATGGGAGGTTTGCTATTAAAATTGAGTTTACAAACATAGTAAATCATATGATCTGTAACGTGATTTTAATAGCTTACCTCCCATATATAAAATTAATTATTTTTAGAAATTCTTAAAAGCAAAAACTATATATAATATTTAATAATTAAATTTTAAATATAAATATCTTGTAAAATTTTTATTATATAAATTAAACTGCAATTTCAGAAAAATTAAGAAAATAAAATAAAATATAAAATTATAAAATAACAAAAATAAATTTATTTGTATTTTATAATAAAACATTTTTTTATTTACTTATATATACATAAATATTACTTTTGAACTTAATGATAAAACTTTTCTATACTTATATAAAATTCTTTATTTTATTTTACTTTAATATGTAAAAAAATATTTTAATAATAAGTAGTGTCAATGATGAAAATTTGCCTTAAAAAATTAATTTACAAAAGTTATTTGATTTGATTTATATAGATCATTAAGAAAGATCTTGATTGAGATATTGTATTAGAAAGTTAAGCTGATTTATTTAATTTGAAGGATTTGCAAAATTTACCTGATTCACCTGATTTATTTGATGGTTATTTTATTAAATTTCTTATATATTTATTATTTTTATTATAATTATTATTTTTATTATTTCTTTTATTTTTATCATCATTATATTTTATCATCTATTTTATATTTTATTTTATTATCTTTTATTATTATTTTATAGCTAAGGTTTACTAAATTACTTAGTTTATAATATAGCAAATAGTTAATTATAGCAAATTCATTTTGTATAAATAGAATAGCTTTTTGTTTAAGTTGTAAATTAACTTATTTATAAGTTGTTACAGTTTCAAATTATTAATAAAAGAATCAATTTAAATCCATACAAATTTACTTTTTCCTTCAATATTATTCTTCATCTAGAATTTATTGTGATACACTATACTGACTTACTATTGAATTTATTATTATGAGTTTGACTAATATATTTTAAATTCTAAGACATGATAAATTGCTGAGTTGATTTAAATATAACAGATACCTGTAGAACTTAGAGAAAATCCTAAAGTCAGAAACTTCAACATATAGAATTAACTGCTGCAGTCTTTTAACTTAGATATTAAGATAACTAAAAATGAACCTGATGATAATTTGGTAATTTCTGCCAGAAAATAAACTATTAAAAAAAGTAAAGAAAGAATATAAAGAAAATGAAGTATTAATTTGAAGTTATATAAAGGTTATATAAAGCCTAATAGATAGTACTCATTGTCTCTAATCTCATAAAAGCTTGTATAATATTTTAGTTATACAAAACTCATTAAAAATCACTTGACCAAATGCTGAATCTTAATTAAATAAAGAAGATAATGAATACAAATTTAATACAAAAGTTACGGACGTAATTATCTTAACATTAACTGATCAGAATTTTACAAAATTTAGATCAATAGAACTGTCAAATCTCAAGAATTACAATAATATATATTTTATTCAAATCAAACTACTGGATAACAAAATAATTGAAGAAATATTATTTTATTTTATTTTTATATTTTATTATATTTTTATTGGACTTTTATGAATTAATAGACAAAATTATAGTTTTAGTTTTTAAATGATTTTGAAAAAAGTTTTTACTGAACCTAAGCAAAAGTAAAAGTTTTAGGTTTTTTATTCATCTTATAGAAAAATGAGAGAAATTGTTAAAAAGTTTTGAATAGTAAATGATTACAAATATCAAATACCAGTAAGAGAAAAAATACCTTAAGGTCTTAAAGTCTGAAAAGTAGAATTATTATGCTTAGGAATTAGAAAAAGGTTTATCACTTAGCTTGTGAATAATGTGAAAGTATTAGGATACCTCAGATAGTATGATATTCTGCTAAAGGATTTCAGAAAGAAATATATTATAATTTTTATAGATTTATCAATAATTTTAGATTTTTAGAAATTTTATTTAAAGAAAAGATTTTTAATCATATAAAATAATGACATTTAACAAATTATGATGAGAATACAAAGAAAATTTTATTGAATTGATAATAATTACAAGATATCAGAAAAGATTACAAGAGTGAAAGTAAAAGTGTCAACAATATGATTAGCAGCTCTTAAAATAATATTAGACAAATTTTTTTAAATAGTAAAATATAATGACATGCAAAATTTTATTAAATAATACAAATTTTAAAATACATAAAATAAAGAAAAACAAAAAAAAAGAAAAGTAAAATCTAAATAAAAAAGACTAAGAATATATTTAACATCTTAAATTCTACTTTTTTGATGATCCACTTCTTAAAAAATGAGTAACTTTTCTATATACTTTTTTAAGTAAACAAATTTTATTCTTTTAATGAACCAAAAAAGAAAAAATATTAGTTAATTCATTTTTTAAGCATTCACATTCAGCAGAAAGTTTAGCATTTTGATTTGAAGAAATTGATAATTGTTCTCTTAATGTAGAATTTTCTTGATAAATTTCTTAGACTTCTTGATGAGAATCTGTAGTCTGAACAAAGAAAGGGTACTTATTAGAAATGTAAAATTGAGCATCTTCGATCAGTGAATATTAGTTCACTGAAAGGTTAGCTTAATAAACCTAATGATGTTCTAAATGGTTACATATCGATACAGAATAATAGAAGCTATAATAACCAGTTCTAAGCAAGAAAAACTTATGTTTTAAGAATCTACAGTATAGTAGAAGGAAGAAAACAAAAGTATTAATATGTTGTAATCATATTAAATAAGGTCAAACATACTATTACACTTCTCAGATGAGAGATGGATTACATATATATCAATTTATTAGAACAAGTTCATAAAAGATGCATTCTATATATTTTCAATCATTATATCTGGATTTATTCTTAGGTATATTCATCTCATCTTAAAAAACTCTTTCACTAAAATATTTTCTTTGATGAACTAAAGTTCTATGACAAGTGAAAGCAGATTTTTTCCTGTTTACTCAAATTATAATAAAGTTAAAAATATTCTAAAAGTTTGAAATTTTGTAATAATTTTAGGAGAAACAAAAAATTTTAAAGAAAATAGAAGAAATTTTTAGATAAATATTTATAATCAAAAGAAGTAGCTATAAAAAATTCTAAAAAATTCTCAAGACTATGAGAATTATTTTCTTGTAGAAAAATAAATAAAGATTTATTGGATTATATTAGATGATAATAATTGCATAAAAATCTATAAAACAA